CCTTCCTCCTGAATGGCTTTCACATTTGCCTAAGTAGAATTCCCTGAGTATCATCTCTTTGTCCTCTTTGACACATCTCAGGTTAAGTCAAGTCACCTATCTTCTAAATAACTCGCCCCCACATGAGTAAGAAGTTAGCATCTTTGATCATGAATTTTCATTGTCACCAACCTCTATACTCCTCACAAAGTGTTGACGATGACAACACCTTTTGCTTACAGTTGCATGGGGGCAAAGTGTTGGCACTGACAGCACCTTTTGGATAATTCTTTTGCATCCTTCCTCAGAGTCAGCTAGAAGCAACCTTTTCTCAAAATTTTGTGTGCAAGTGTTCTTCCTCCTGAATGGCTTTCACACTTGCCCAAGTAGATTTCCCTGAGTATAACCATTTTGTCCTCTTTGACACATCTTAGGTTAAGTAAAGTCACATATCTTCTAAATAACTCCCCCCGCACCCCACCCCCCCCCATGAGTAAGAATTTAGGATCTTTGATCTTGAATCTTCGTTGTCGCCAACCACTACACTCATTGCACTGGTCTACTAATATTCCATGATTGGATTGACCCAACTTGTCGGATGATTGGCCTCTACCTACATGATTTCCTCTTCTTCTATCATGGGCCTTATTTTATTCAATGTTGGTCACCCATTTCGGTTTCCCTGCTTAGACAGGAGATCGATGAGTTGGATTGTTCTTTGGGAATCTAAGTTTTCATGAAGTACTCTAGTTAGTTGATTTCTTCCTTCACCTTGAAGAAGCATTTCTAGAGTAACTTCTCACTTTCTTCGTACTTGTCGTTGATATGGTTCACCATCAATTGCAAGTCTGAGTATACCATCAATTAAATTACCCCAAGCCATGTAGTGAGTTGCAGGCTAGCAAGTAAGGCTTTATACTAGACTTAATTGTTTGACTTTGAACTCTATGTTGGTTGCTTGGGTAATGGTGATTCCAGTGGGTATTCTCAGAATCATGCTCATGCCAACTCCTTAATTTGCTGAGGCATCGTCAACATATATTGTCCATTGTTGTTGTGGAGTCACTATCTCCGACACGTCATTTGGATCACTAAGTCAGCCAGGAAGTCGGCGATTGCCTAGGCCTTGATGGCCATCCTAGGCAGTTAAGATACCTGAAAAATGCTCAGTTTCACTGACCATAAAAGTAATAATCCTAAGTGATCAAGTTTGGTGAGTGCATCTTTCAACGGGTAGTCAGTAATGATTATATATTACTACTCGGCTCCTATGAGGATTTTACTCATAATAGATTGACAACTATCTCTTCCCATCTTCACTAACAAGCACAAAGTTGAAAACATCCTCGCCTACCCCTAGGACAGCACTAAGTCTTTGCCTGGCCATAAGATTTGAAGTAGGGTGGTGAGAAGTTTCAGTTGCTAAAATGCAGCTTCATAGTCCTCCTCTAAAAGAATTGTTTTGTGCTTCTAAGGAGTTTAAAGAATGGCAAGTACCACTTATTGAGTGAGAGATGAAATGATTGAGCCAGACGACTCGCCCAATGATGCGTCGTACCTTCTTGGCTGATTTAAGTGACTTCGTCTCAAAGATCACTTTCTCCTGACTGCAAATTCGTCGGGGCGAGTTGGTAAGGACTAAACCACTTTGTTGTATTCGTTAGATTTTACAATGTTGTTAGCCACCTCCAACAACTCAGCAACGTCTTCAAATGCTATAAGCTAAGTGCATATCTGAATGGATCCTTTCTCAATCCTTGGATCAATGCAGCCTAGGCGACTGTAGGCTCTATGTCCTTCACATCTAGTATTTTTCTCTAGAACATTTACTATAAAGCTCCGTAGTAACTCCCCTGATTCCTGTCTCATCTTCAATAGAGCTTGCGAGCAATTCTGAAGCTTCTGAGCACCGACAAACTTAAGTAAACAGCATATTTTTGAATTTAAGAGAGAGAGAGAGAGAGACAGAGAGAGAGATAATCACTCCTAATGACATGGGAGTGAAGTGCCATGCGAGTGAACCACCTGAGCACCAACTTCTTAAGTGTTTTAAATAGAGGAAATACTTAAGGGCATTATCAATGTCTAGCAAAGAAGTCATTGACTCAAAGGTAGCCATATGATCATTTGGATTGGTCTTACCCGATAGGAATCCATGTGTGGCACATTGAACTTGGGTGGCAACCTGACCTTGTCGATCGCCATAGAGAAGGCATTGGTAAGTTCTGGCTCATTCCTTCTGACTCGCTTGTTCGGCAAACTGTAATCTTCATCACTTGTCAGCCTGTGTAATCAAGGATGAGTGTTGAGATTAGCGCTCAATCTTCTAGCTGTATGCATCAATCTACCAAATCTGAAGAACCTTCAAAGGCGTTGTAGCCTCAAACTCACCCTTGGACACCACCTAGGGCATCTTGGATTGTTTTCATAATCATTTCCTCCATTTCCTACAGGTCACAACGGTATTCTCCATTTTCATAGAATCATAGAAGAATCCTATTGCATTTGCTTGTCGAGTAGGGCATGTTTTCTTGTCAATGGCATTAATCCGTGCTCACCATACCTGAGAGTATATTAGATTCAAATTTGTTCATGGATGACACCTGAACTTATTGGCAAACCTAGCTAGTAAGCTAGAGCATGTAAAGTGGAGAGAATAGAGGAAATAATACAAAATGCTCAATAAGCTATAAATCTCAAACTAGCATAATATTCACTCAGTAAAAATATGCAAAAGGATCCCCCCAAACTATTCGTCTCACCCCTTATTTATAAAGTTATGATGGCTACAGGAAATGTTATACGAAGAAAAAATGAAAACTACGATGTTATGTAGTATAACCATATAATGTTACACACTACCGTAGACACACGTCTCCTCCTAACTGGCTAAAGTAGAGCGAGGTTGGAAGACTTTCACGAGTTAATTCTAGGCAAGTTTAGTAGTGTCGAGTAGGTCAAGGAGAGTGTGCTTAGGCAAATCTGTGGGTGCATAATTAAATGAAAGGGGACCTGAAGCTGGCGTGCTTGTTGACTTTACCGGTGACTTGTGTGAGGGTTCTCGGGTAGCCCGAGGATAGACGGCTAAGATGTTGTGGAAATAGAGAGCTACAAGTCATGGTCGTGGCAAGGTAGGCAAAAGGTCCTGTGAGTAGGCGCTTTCCTATAGCTGAGCCTAGTGAGGACAATCGCTTTGGGAGAGAGTGAGTGCCTAAAGTCGCCCTGAGGGGGAGCCAGCAACTAGTGATCCAGGTATGTGGTGAGTATCGGATTGCCAGCTTGATGAGGAATCCTCAATTTTCCCCATAGAAGGGGATCTCTTTAGTAGAGCTGAGCAAATAGAGCCTATTGATCACTTTGGGAGAGTTCCATATGAGTTCCAGGCAAATAGCACCTCTTATCAGGCAAATTCCATCCATGAGCCCCTCTTAAGGGATAGTTCCTCTCTATGACCTACTAGCTACAACTATACAATTATACAAAAAGATATATTAGAGTGTTTCTAATATATATTTTCGTGTAAAAAATTCTAACCAAATTCAACTATTGGTTGGCCCGGATTAATTGGATCATACATGTTGTCGAACACAAGTTATAATTAAGGTTTAGGGTTAGTTAACTAAGGTTAAAGTTTGATGATAAAAATTTGATGGGTAGCATATTAGTAAGAGAAGAAATATTAGAGTGTTTCTATTTTTAATATTAAAGATTAAGCTGATATAGAAATAAATTCATATATTCGTAGGATGTTAAATAAAATCCCATTTTACCTTCATCGCTTATTTTATCCCGTGAATTTCCATGGAATATTATCAGCTAAGCACATTGAAAAACTCATATAAAATTTCAATGTCATCATCAGAGTAGCAAAGAAAATGAATCAACCATATTGTATTCAGCAATCCTAATGTAAATGCATAGCAACAGGAAGCCCGGCATTGGGAGGGAGCTGACGGACCAAACCAAAACACCCAGTGCTCCCAAGTTTGAACCTTCACATGATTAGGAAAAGCTTTCAATATGATCATTTCCAGTGATCCAATAGCCTGTTCTTGCTTACCTTAGTAACTAACTTGCTGGCTACATTTACCAGTCTCGAATAAACCATGCCAGCAAAACGGTTTTTTTTTTTGAAGCCAGCAAAACGTTGAACAATGAAAATACATGAAAAATGCCTAGCAAAATTAATTCAAATATGAGTTTTTCTTCACTCACTTTTTCATTGAATACATGTTCAAGCACTTCCTCACGCAGTGGATGATAGAAGTACTTTCTACCCTATCACCATAATTTCTAATGGAATGAGCAAGCTTGAATTCATGCGATAAGCAACAAGACCTGTAATGACGGAATAATAAAACCACGTGAAAAATCCAGCTGCGGTATAGTATGCGCCTAAAGGATGTTTGCATCCTATTTTTTAGAAACTTAGAATGTCGCCATTTGGCTAGAAGGCAAATGATTTATCTCACGTACTATGCAATAACACCATAAAATAAATGCATTAGATCGTGTACCAGCACCTAACAAAACAGTACTATTTGGACAGCATTTTCTTACAATAAAAAGTATCACATAATACAACTACATTTATGATTTCTAGATGGAAATTGAATTACGTTTTCTACCGTATCTATATAACTTACCTCTTAAAAAGAATGAAAATTGCCTGAATTAATATACTTAATAAGAACTAAGACGCACTGTTATGACAATAAAATATATCTGGGACATCGATTTAAAAGATCATTTAGTAAAAATTCATAGTTACCTAACAAAATGACTTGGATTTTGGCTGCGAGGTGCAAACAAATATATTAGCAAAATTTTCAAATTGTTAAAACGTGATTCCAAAACAAAATTAAACGCATCTTTTTCACTAGGATGTATGACTGCCCAATAGATTGTATAATAAAATCATTAAAGAAATTGCAATAATAATGCTTCATAAATTGTGATCATCCTACCTGAGAAATGCATTTGAAAAAAGAAACCAACCGACAGAGGAAAATAAAACTCACCTTTTTGGAAAAAAGCATATCAAGTTTAGATGATCTGTTCGTTGGATTAGTAGTGCCATTAGGAGTTTGAGGATAGCATGTTCGTATTGTCTTCACACTATAACAGTTTGACTACATTAATTTTCAAAAAATTTAAGGATGTAATAGAACCAGCAAAACTACCTACCTTCCAACTGCAGAGAAAATCTTCATAAGATTCTGGTAACAATGATCTTCGGGAAGATTCTCAGCCACAACAATGCGAGACTGCAGGAGAGAAAAAGATGCAACTGATGCACTCTCATATAATCAATTATTAAGAAACAAACAAAAAAAAAACTCCTTTGATAGAAGCTGAAAATCACCCACCTGCAATTCATCAACATCTGCCTCAGTGAAGGGATGGAGGCGTCTGACTTTTTTCCCGTCATCACTAACAACCTAAAGTTTTTTATGTCTCCAAATTAAGAAATATTGCATAAGCAAGTATCAATAATAGGCATCATGCACATGTAAAACTGATGGTTCTGCCTATTGTTCATGAAGAGCTCTTGCAGGTAAAACATGACATCTATTTCTATGTACAAGAGGTCTTGCTGGTAAAACATGACAGCTAAAATCTTAAAAAAAAAAAACAGCTAAAATCTTCCACTGACAGCACCTCAAAGGGAACTTACGAGCTTTGCTGATGTCCGCAGAGCATTGGAAAGCAGCATATTGTTGTGCACCAATGCCTTAATCTTCTTAAAGGAAGCAATGACAGCTATTGGCACTACAGCATAACCATCATAAGATAAAAATAAAAGTTCAGGTAATTTGAACGAGCACAACAGCACGGCATAAAATTAAAACATCACACAATTTGAATTAAGCAATAACTAATAATCCCAAGAAAATGCTCAAATCTTCAATTCTGTGGAGAACATAAATAAACAAAAAACAGTCCTGACATACATCGTCTAGCCTGGGCAAATCCTAAATGAGACTCCTGACAGATTTAGATGAACTGTTGAAGTTTTAGTTTTAAATTAGAAGAGTATCGCTACAATAGTTAATTCTTGTATTTTATAGGCGCAAACATCTATAACTAAATTAAAAAACTAGAATAAACAATAAGAGAAGTCATGTATGAATTCCGAAACTCATGGTACAAAATGGTGATTCAATTAATGTAAATTGTCAAATACAAGTCCTCCAAGGAAGTATTCATATTGATAAGGTGAAATTATCAGCACGTATCCATAAGAGTAGAAAATAAGAGACTGAAAAGAATGATGTCATATAACAATGTGCAAAATATGCCCTTAATCCTTCAAGTACAAAATAATTCCCTGAACCCCTTTCAGATGAGCTTTATAAACCATCTGCGTTGAAGAAAAATATATTGGAAACTTTCCTAGTTGCAGAAACTTATGGCAGGATCTTTAGAAAAGCCATAAACCCACGTCAGTCCGATGAAGGCCAATAATTACTTTTGGAATTGATTCCTGCTAGTTCTATGTCTCCAAATCGCAACTGCCAAACAAAATATTCTGATAAAACAATAGCGTACTTGCATCTGTTTAATTTGTAAAGAGAAAAAAGTTGCTATGAACACCTGTAATTCTCCTTGCTAGTTTGAATGAAATGATTACCACAAAAAATTACACAAATTATAGGTCATCTTGCTACTTATGAAGGAAACTAAAAAAATTATGCAGCCTACAAATCACACATACTTCCAGGAGTTTGCCATCCCATGTTAGATTTGTCAACGACACTTGGATACTCGGAGACTTGAAACTAGAACACAATCTCTAATATGAGAATCGGTGTCTTAATGTCAAGTAGTCAAAAAAATTATGTCAGTTCTTAGACATTACTTGGAATTGAAAGATCATGGAACCCAAAAATCAACAATGTTAGTAGGCATTTTTGAGCACACAAATACAGATTTTAACTGTTGGATTAATCCTCCTATCACCCTTAGATTGCAATCTGTGTGCCTCCTCTTCCTATTCTAGCTATTGGCCCATTTTTGAGATATTTTTATAAATATCTTTGATTTCCATTATAAGCCTTTTGGAGAAGTGTATAAATACTATCACACTTTGAATATAAAACTTAAAGTAATTTTTTTACTTCTCGACTTTTCAATATGATATTAGAGCACAATTTAGGTTTTCTTCTTCCAAACTTTGTTTTTTTTTTTTTCTCTTATTATCAAAATTCTTTCTTCTCTTCATTATGGCTACTTTTTCTTTTTACTTCCCTTCCAAAGAGTTGACAATCATAAACAATGAAAATCATAATAAAAGAGAACTCCAGGGGATGCAAGCCTCGTATCACTTGAATTAGATAAATTATCTAAAATGATGATAAATTATGAAGACATTTTTGGAATGCAAGGAAAAGATGCATCATCTTATGGATCCTCCTATAGAGTTGAAAAATCTAAAATTTATATTTTACGATAAAGCAAATTCTATGAACATGAGTGGAATATCATGATGCTTGTTTTAACAAACACACAAAAAAATGAAGGATGTTTTCCCACCTACGAGAGTAAAACTAAGATTTCAAAAACCAAGTAATAGTATTTTCCTGTTAATGAGTAGTTTAATGCTGTAAAGGTTTATTAGCTTAATTGGATTATCATCAAGATCTCAAAATGACATGTTATGATGACACGATAATTCTCAAGCAATTTATAGTAAGAGAAATTGTGTAACTTTATTGAAAAACACAATAATGATAAATTTGTGTTCAAATCCAAAGCAAAAAAATCTACCATCACTAAATTATTTTATTTTATTTTTCTCTTATATGAGCTGAAGAAGGAAGAATGACGAAAATGCTTAACACTCTAGTCTCCAAATATCTGTCAGACAACCATCAAACCTCAGGTGAAAGAACTTACTACTACATACTTCCTTAAGGGCAAAAATCATTTTCAAAGGCAATCCGTGTGCATCTCAATCAATTCTCATGTCCTGATATTCAACAACAAAATAGAGTGTTAGAAATGAAAAATTTCCATCTTTTCAAAATTACCTAAATTTTTCTCTATTAGAATTGAGTGTCAAAAAGATATTAGGGGGGATTCCTAACTACACCATATCTAAGCAATCGAACAACATCAAAAGTTATTAACTTCAAAAGTCATATAAATTAACAAATTGAATTCTTCCCCATAATTAACCTCATCCACAAACAACACAAAAGTAAACTTATTCCTAAAGCTGTCAAATGTGTTTTTATCGAGTATTCCTCTACTCTAAGAGGATATAGCTATTATCATCGTACCACTAAAACATTATTTACGTCAAAATACACCATGATTAATGAGAAAAAATATGTTTTTAAATTGAACTCATCTTTATGGATAGAACTCCCAACTAGAAGATAAGTTCGATGTTACCTCTATATTTCATGCTAATATTTCTACAACATAAACTCCAACAAATCTAGTTATTATATCCCTTCGAGGTTATATAAGAAGGAATAAGTCCAACTAAAATCTCCAACAAGCCCAAGATTGAAACCATTATCAAGTAATAATGATCAACTAAGTATTACATATTTTCCTCTATATTCAATCTCCCAGCACGGATCTTTTCAAAAAAAAAATCCTACCCATAAAACTTTTCTTACAAATATTAGCTCTAATTTCATTATAATATTACAAACTCTATTTGAGATACTTGAAGAAAAGAATTAAAATGATACCATGAATGTTTTGGAATAATTGTAATGGAGATGCATATAAAATTTTACTATAAAATATAAAGCGGATGAAAGCCTAAAACAATATAAAGCAAAATTGGTAGCCAAATGATATATTCAATCTACCAAGTAACTTTTGCTCATATCATGAAAAATGAATACAATACACAACATAATTTCTCTTATGACCAATCATGAATGGTACATGCAATAATATGATGTAAAGAATGCTTTTTTGTATGGATATGTTGAAAAAGATACTATATGGATCCACCACTCGGATTTAATAGTTTTTCACAAAAAAAAAAAGTATGCATAATAAAAAGGGCTCTATATGAACTTAAATAATCTCTGAGAGCATGATTTGGCATATTCACAAAGCCATGAATGAACTTGGATACTAAGAAAGCAAAGATCATATCATCTTCATAAAAAGTTCCAAGGATGATAAAATCTTAATTCTCATCATATATATTACCAATATAATTATTATACGGAAAAAATTTGCTGAAGAATTTGAAATCAAATAGTTTGGCAAACTTAAATATTTCTTAAAAATAGAATTGCTCAATTAAAGTAAGAAATATTCCTCTCAACAAAATAAGATATGAATTTACTAAAATAAATAAAAACGATTGATAATAAATCTTATAAAATCCCTACTAAAAACAATAAAATGATTGATATAAAAATTGGTTAAAAAATAATCTATCTCACAACTATCCAAACATCAAATTTGCAATAATGAGTCTCGTTAGTCAATTCATGCAAAAACTCAAAGAGTCCCATATTCAAGCAGTTTATATAATCCTTAGATGTTTTAAATCAAGACCTGATAAAAAACTTCTATATAAAGTAGAATGCTTATATATTGAAAAGTATATGGATGTAAGACTATACAAGATTATTAGTATATAAAAGACTCACGACTGGATACTATATATTTTTTGACAAAATCTCCTATTATAGAGAGTAAAGAAATAAGTTATTGTTTCGAAATCTAACAGTGAATCTGAATTTAGAGTCATTGCCTAAGGAATTGTAAGCTTCTACAACAACAACAATAACAAGCCTTAATCCAACTATGTGGAGTCGCTATATGAATCATTTTTTCTTCATTGTGTCTTATTAAAAATTTATGTTGATCAAAATTATTTTGAAAGATTTAAAATCAAATGAGAATGACCAATGAAGATATATTATGATAATAAATCTGTCATCATTATTGCTCATATACGGTACAATATAAGTGTTCCAAGCATGTGTAGAGGGACAGAAATTTCATTAAAAAATTTTTAAAAAGGTAGGCAACAAAAATTCAACTAACAAACATTATCATCAAAGGAATCTACAATCATACATTTAAAAATTTTGTAAGCAAACTTTGCATGATAAATTTATATCATTCAATTTGAGAGCGAGTGCTGAAGGATTGCGGAACCCACAAGTCAAACAATCTTAGAAGAGATCTTTGAGCAAATAGACTAAAGGTTTAATCGTTGGATCGATCATCACTCTTACATTGCAATATGTGTCTTCTCTTCCTATTTTAGTCACTGGCCTCGCTTAGGGACTTTTTTTTATAAATAATTTAAATTAATTTTCACTGTAAATTTTTTAGATAAGTCTATAAATATTTTCAAAGTAATTATGTTACTTTTCTACTTTCTATACTACACAAATCAAGAACAATCATCAAACCCATATTAAACACAAACCATACCTAACTATGAAAAGTTTGACTTGTCAAAGTACATTGTAATCTTATTACTCTTATTACTTCTTATATTCAATTAAGACGCATATTAGAATTATGAGAAAATCATTTTGTTTATTTTTAATGATATATATATATGAAATGTTATATCCAATTAATATTAGTATTCTTTACTTTTCAGAAAATCATGTGTCTCATTAAAATTTAAATTAATTTCTTTAAACCCTAAGTATGCCACTGTGATACTAAAATAGATTTTTTAAAGAAGGATCTATCTCTAGACACCGCTAGAGCCCAAGAAAAATCTCAGAGACATCGAAATTCAGCCAAATTCAAGATGCCCTAATTCTAGCAAAACAAACTGTTTAATGCATACAATCAAAAAGGAAACCTCTAAACAGTCCCTACATTCAAATTTCGCTCCCAACTCCCTCAAAAATCCTTCCTAAATAGCTTTTTTGGATCTTGTGGCTTGTGCGGCTCGTACAGGAGGCGGAAGAGTTCCGCCTCCGTTACGTTGAGCCGGTCACCGGCTGGACCAGTCCAATTGACCAGTCTAATAATACTCCCCTCTCAAAGATCCACCTTTTCCACAAGGAAGAAAGACAACACCTTCCTCCATTCCCTCGACATCAGAAACGGTAAGAATCTGAAGAGTTCGGTCCTTAAACCTGTGCCCCATAGTATACTTCTCGTCACATATGAAACAGAGCTCCTTCGCCCGTTTCTCCTATAATTCTATTTCTGTGAGCTTCGTGAAGTTATCCCTAGGTCTTCCTCCTAAAGTCTTCCCCTTTGAAGTTTCCCTAAGAGTATCTGGTGTTGGCTCCATGAGTGCCAAAAAGGTTGTGGTCATCCTGTACGAGTCTTCTGAGCTGTTGTCCCCCGTTCCTCTCTTCAGGTGCCTCCAATCCTCCACCAACTGAGTTAGCTCCATAGACTCTCCCAAGTAATGAGGCCTCATCACTCTAACCGCTACGCCGATCTTTGAATTCAATCCCTTCATTAAGTCCACCTCCAATACAATCTTTGGAAGCCAACCCAGTTGACTGGTAAGGTACAAAAATTGCTCACAGTACACCACTATCCCCTCCAACATCAAAGCGAAGAACTGCTCATAGAAGTCCCCTCTCGTGTTGGTTTGGAATCGTTCCAACAGGCACTCCTTAAACTCCCTCCAGGTTTTTATTGGTCACCTTGTATCCCTCCACTAGTACCATGCTAAAGCTTTCCCTTCCAACCACATCCTGGCTGCCGTCAGTTTCTCTTTCTCCGTCAACCTGTTGAAAGTAAAGTAAATTTCCACATTATAGATTTACCCATGTGCATCCTCTCTCTCAAAATAGATATCTTCAATTTCCTCACCCTTAAATCGCCCCCATTCCCTTTGTTCCCTTCATAATTTCGCCATCCCCAAGGAGTGGTTCCCCCCAAGTGTCCCAATCATCCATTCTATGTTCAAGCCTTTCATCAAATTCGCACATTCTCCTTTCAAATTCAGCACCACTTGAATCATAACAAACCCCTCCCCTTTCAAATTCTCACATTCTCCTTTTAAATTTAGCACCCCTTAAATCATAACAAACCCTTCCCCTTCCAAATTCAGCCCCCCTTTGGTCATAATTACCCCTTTCCCTTTCTAATCTCACCCCTCTCCTCTCCAAATCAGCACATCTTCGTTCTTGCCCTACCCCCCCCCCCCCCATGCCTCTCCGCATACCCTCTACCCGGCTCTTCCCTAGAGTAGCTTAGAGAAAGTATTTTCTCTTCTCCCTTTCGAGTCTCAACCTCCCAATCTTCCATTTGCCTGATTGGCTTAGGATTTTTCTCACTTCCCTGGCTGTTGGCGCCTTCCCTCCCCTCAAACGGCGATATTTTAGTTTGGCCCTCAAGCACTTTCTTCAACATCTCCCCCAAGCTGAAAAAATTCCCATCCATCTTCTCCTGGATGGCTGAAATGTCTTTCTTTAAATCTGAAACTTGAGTTTATAGATCTGAAATTTCAGATTTCATTTGTTCAATTTCTCTTTCGAGGCGTTCCTCCAACGCATCCACTTTCTTGGCCGCTATCGATACTCGGATTTTTGTTAGACTAAAAATTTGAATCTCAATTCCAAAAATCAGCAAAACAGCCCCCTTCAATCTAACAATCAGCCACTGATTTTCTCAGAAAAATCCCCCAAACAATCCCAAAATCTACTCTGATATCAATTTTATAGGAAAAACTTGAATATTTCAAGTAAATCCTATCAATTTCGAACAAAATAGCGAAAGAACTCTTCCAAACTCTAATGAAAACTAAAAAAACAATAGTTTTTATTGCAATAATCAAACTAACAAAAGGAAATAACAAGATACAATTGATCCTCTATTCGAGAGGATCCCTCTCTCCCAAATCTCTAGATGACTCTAGAGCCCATGAAAAATCTCAGAGATCTCGAAATTTAACCAAATTCAAGATGCCCTAACCCTAGAAAAATAAACTATTTAATGCATACAATCAAAAAGGAAATCTCTAAACAGTACCTACATTCAAATTTCGCTCCTAACTCCCTCAAAAATCCTTCCTAAATAGCTTTTCTGGATCCTGCGGCTCATACATGAGGTGGAAGAGTTCCACCTCCGTTACATTGAGCCAGTCCCGTATGGACCGGCTGGACCAGTCTAACACAATCATTCATCAAGATTTTAATCTTGAATTTTTAAGTGTGCTTAGAGGAGGAATTGGTGAGATCCGCCAGTTAAGAGTTAATCATAAGAGAGGAAAGGGAGGGCGCCACCCTGGAAAAACAATTGATAATATCCATACTAGAGGTAATAAATGGCTTATTGTGCACCTATTACAAATTTTTAGGGTAAGGGTAATTTTGAAGTTCTGCTTGTTTTTAAAGTTCGTAAGTTTTTTGTATGGAAAGAAACCGAGCGGTATCGAGCATGTACTGAGCGATACCTAACGGTACCGAGCGATACCGAGCATGTACCTAGCGATACCTAGCAATACCGAGCATGTACCTAGCAGTACCAAGCATGTACCTAGCGGTACCAAGCATGTACCTAGCGATACCTAGCGGTACCGAGCATGTACATTAGCTTTTTATTATTTAATAACCGGACACGCATGTCCGGTTTTAATTTTAATTTTTTTAAATACGACACTCCAATGTCGTGTCGGACACATGTCCATGCAGTGTCGGATGCGTGTTCGTGTCCGACACGGCATACCCTCTTTAAGTGGAGTGTCGGCGCATCATAGCTTGGAATTAATGGAAATTATTAGTAGTGTAATGGCATTTGGTTAAAACAAATTATTTAAAATGTGAAGATCACAAATTATTTATTGTTACAAATGTTTTGGGCAGATTTTGAATAGAATATCATGTTGGAAGTGCTTGATTCTGGTTTAAATAGCCACCTATTTCTTGTTAGCTTACTTCAATTTCGGGATGTACTTCTGAAAGTCAACTTTAACATAGCATAACATGGGAATTTCAGCTTTTAAGAATTGGTTAGCATCTTTCAAGCCATTTAGGTTATCATAATGTCTCTTTGCAGACCATCTTAGGAACCATAATAAGTCCCACTTCAGTTCCTCTAAGTAAAAAACATCCAAAGAAAGTATACTCATAATCAAGCCATTAGTTATTTATAATTAGCTATTTATAATAACAAAACAATCCAACAATGTTAAAGAAAATATCAGCTGACAGCTCACCAAAGCCTTCAGGATCTCTACTTATGAACCTCATCAAATGTTCCGTGGTTGCCAGGTTCACATCACTAAAATAGTATTCCACCTGAATTTCAATTCAATTCTAGATATAATGAAACAAAAATGCAAAAAAAATTATGTTCAATTCAGAAAAAGAAATTCAGTTAAAACCATTTGTGGAATGTGTTTGAATACGTTGATAATAAAAAAGAATGATATATAGGATGCGGAATAGTGCTACATATAACTACTACTCTAAGGAAACAGAAAGTACTCAACACTCTAAAATTATAAAATGATACAGCACAATTAAGAATAAATAGGCGGAAAAGCGTTGTAGAGGTGAAACAACTTTGCGCTAAGCCTGGTGAGGAAGCATTTAAAGAATGCAACAAAAATCAAGAAATCTAATCTAACAAAAGAAGACGCAAAAGATTAAAGATATATAAAGCAGAAAAAACGCACAGCTATTCAGTCGTGAATAGAATCAAGCTCTGGTAAATGCCATTCAAATTTATATTGCTAATTGATATGTGTTTTTGATGCAACACTAAAGAAAAGACCAAAGACAATATCACAAACCAAGATTGTACATCCATTGGATCTCATGAGCCTGATATGCATACTAGAGTTTTAATGATTACAAATATTATAGATTATGCTAATATAACTTTCATTCAAGTGCGCATGCTAATATAACTTTTCCTTTTAAGTGTGCAGATTTTTAGACTACACTTCAGGTTAAAAGTAACAGCTGCTGCATAAAAGAAGGAATCAGGAAGAGGAGCTAACTGAGCCCAATTACCGTCAAAGATTAAGAATGCAGAATATAAAATGTGTCAAAAATTTGTAATTTTTTTATTTTTAAGTCTTCTTTTCTGTTTTGGATTATATTAGCTAAACAATCATGTAACCACACCAAAGTGGAGTGTATTAAAAATAAGAAAATTCTAATGCTAATTGAAGAATTTGATTTCTATGAAATCGTACTATATGGTATATATCGTATGGTAAGATAGCATGAATATTTTGAAAAATCAAGTGATGTTGATTAACATGAAATTAAAATTGAAAGTTTGAAATAACAAATCGAACTATACGATTTATATCATCCTATACAATCTAATATTTCAATTTTAAATAGTTATGATTTGCTCTTTCCAAAAATAGATAAATTTGAAATTATACTAATAGTACAAACATGTTCGTACCTTATGAATTTTAAATATTTACTATTTTTTTTACCAGTGATCAAAAAGTGAAATCAGAGTTGATCTCGTACAGTATGACCCCATTCATACAGTATGAACAAACAGAGAGCCTGATTGATCAAACTCTGTTGGGATTTGATGAACCTAATATAATTATATTATACAGTTCATATCGCACAATCCAAACAAATAGAGAGCAAATTAGGGTTTAGCCATAATTGCACTAATAATACTTTACGATGCATGGACCGTACTATACAATCTACCCATGAAAATTATTAAACATTATATTTTAGGGTTTCATTGGGAACATTCTTATAAATAAGATATCTTCAAAAACCCTAAGAAGTTTTTTGGCAAGTCCTTTTGAGTTTCATTGAGAACTTTTGAGAGCCTTGATTTTAGGAGAGAGATTTATGAGAGCTTTTGAGAGGGGCCAAAAATGTGAGGTGAGCAATTCACTATGATTGTCTAGTTCAAATTTAATCCTTAAATTCTCAAGGTTTTTATCATGAAAGCTCTTGCAGAAGAGCTCAAGGAAGTCTAAGTGTTGAGACTTGAATCGAGCTTCATGGATATAGCAGAAGGCTAGGGAGAAGCAACTTATTGAGAATAGAAGAGGTTTGATTGTCTCTATTACTCATGAAGAAGAAATAATTCTCATGGATAGAAGTGGTTAGAAAGTTTCCTCCATCATCCTTGAAGAAGAGTGCTTCTCCTCCTTCCTGGGAGTGGACGTAGATCAAATGATCGAACCACTATAAATTTGATTTATATTTTTTTATATAAGTTTTATTTTCTTGTAATTTATTTTACGCAATCTGTTTGGTTATATACACTACTACAAAAAAATTGATGGAGTTCTAATTTGAAATAAAAAAGATTATTTCTGCAATAATAACTTTTCTTATTATCTTGATAAATAAAAGAAAAAACTATTTTTCTTACTTCATCAGTTTAATTTCAAAAATATTATTTGTTATTATTCCTACTTTAGTTGGTTTAAAAAATAGAAAAAAAAAATTATATGGGTGTTGCTCTAAACATTTCCACACGTTTAAAATTTTTAATACACAATAATTGAGTCCACTCTTGGGTGTGTCATTCGGTTTAGATTAACATCAAACTATTTTCAATTGGTATTAGAATCAAGTTCTTATTAGATAGGTTTAAACAATGTAAATAGATCTTGACATGACATAATTTGAGAATAGGAACACAAATCGCCATTGTTTAATAATGTTTCATTTGACTTTTGAAAAATTCTTATGACAACCTGTATTCAATCTAATTAATTATTGAATGTGGAATCTAGTGCAACTAGAGTATACACCCTCATATAGAATAGAAAATGACATAAATGTTCAACTTTCCTTTAATGAATGGAGTTTTGATGCTTGTGAGTTGGCACAACTGTATGCTAAATATGTAAACTATTTTTCTGTGCATTAAAGTCTGAAGATTACATGTGTATCTTTACATTTACAAATAGCATAAAATTGTGTGATAGATTATGTATTACTTATAAAGATAATAATGAGGTTAAACAATCAAATTTGAATAGTTCACTTCATGACAATGAACTTCTTCGCATGCAACCTAATGAGTTGATATTTGATATGCATACTTTCATGAAAATTATAACATCTTTCCATGCTTTCGGACAGGAAATTAGTAATGCAAGAAAGATAAACAAAATTTTGAGATGTATGACTGAATCATGGGATGCCAAGGTGACAGTGATTTTTGAATCTAAAAATTTAAGTATGTATTCTGTTGATAATCTGCTTGGCGTTTTGATAGCATATAAACAAAATGTTATCCAAAGATTAAACAGCTACAGGTGACAAGAGAAAGGAAAAGATTATATCGTTGAAAGCTAACAATTTTAATAATAGTTGTTCTGAAGGAAGAGGAGATGACGACATAGCTTTAATGATCAGGCGGTTCAAAAATTTTTCAAGAAAAAAACTGAGGTGCAATGATAAGCTGAGAAACAAAGATAAAAAAATTAATAAAGTTACCACTAACCTAATTTGTTTTGAATGTAAGAAGTTAGATCACATAAAATCGGAGTGCCCCAATTTGAAGAGTCAATTATTAAAGGAGAAAGCTAAAGAAAAAAATGAACATAATAGAAACATTAAAAAAAAAAATCACAAAGAGCTTTCTGAGCAAACTCGGACTTTGATTCATCAGAGGTAGAAGCTGAAGAAGATATTACAAACCTATGCTTAATAGTGAAAGACATCACAGGTAATACTAAAGATGATCAGGTATGTGAATTTTCTTATGAGTTAATTTTGTTTTCAAAATAGTTGCATGTTAGTTAAAAAAATCTTAACAGAAATTTTTCCTGTTAAAAAAATGAGCATACTACATTGATAGATGAGCACTAAGGTTTAGTGAACAAGTCAAAGCAACCAAGGCGCTAGAGGGGTCAGTAATAAAATAATATCTTCTTTTCACTAAAAAGAATTGGTTGGCTGCGTTTTGTAGCAGCAAGCATACATTGATCCTCTTCAACGAATCTACAAAAGTTTCTTTTTTATTCTATTCTATTATTGAAATGATAGCTTCAACTAGGCTTCACTTTAGAGAGTTTACATATTCAAAAAAAGAACATACTGCATACTGCATAAAAAAAAGGGCATTTAAGTTTAGTTAAAGAGTCATAAATTCTAAAAAAATGATTTGAAGGGAAAACTAGCATGCATATTGAATTAGATACTACATACAAGATATTAGCAGTAGATGTGTTGCTTTTACAAGATAGTGAGCATTAAGCGTATGTGAAACTTGGAATAGTTAAAAGTCCTAACAAATATCTTTAAAAAAAAAAAGATATCACAAAACTTAGAGCCATTGCATCTAAGTCCACACTTGATCATAAAAAATCTATTAGGGGACCGCATACATCATCCTTTAAGAGAAAGATTCATTCATCACATAGACTAACTCGCTCATTTCATAATTAAGTGTTACTCCTGTGGTATGGTATGATACATAGCACGAATCTGTCCATATAAGATCAACCTTCGCTCACAACTTGTTTGGAGATCTAAGATCTCAGGTGTACAGAATAGCATGTCTTCATCTCATCGCATTATGAGGCTTAAGCTTGCTTGGGTTCCAAAGTTCACAACTTGGTGTATTTTGCAAAAGGCCTTCACAAGGGATATATTAAAAAATTCATTTTGTTGGAATCCAGATGTGGAAGGAGTGGCCCACTAGGATAACACTGCCAAAAATGTCATTGATATAATAAAAACAATAAATGGTTTTAAAATTGAAAAAGTACTATTAATAGAAGGACTGAAACATAATCAGTTTAACATTAGCTAACTATGTGACTAAGGATCTGATGTTAAATTTTTATTTTAATAAATACTAAATGATTAAACTATTTTCAAGGGGCTTAAAGTATTTAATATTTATGATTGACTTAGATTGCATCGATAAAACTAGTGAATTAAGTTGTTTGAAAACAACCTTAGATGAGTCTTGGCTGTGCTATAAAAAGACTATGTCATGCTAGCATGAGAACCCTTAGAAAGATCACACACCTAAAACTGATAAGGGGAATACCTAAGTTAGACTTCACAAAAGAACACCTATGTGATGCTAATTAATTAGGTAAACAAGTAAAGTCTTCAATTCACTTGGTCAAAGTTACCACCAGCAAACCATTGGAGATATTAAAAATGGATTTATTTAGACCTATTAGCACTGTAAGTTTAGGAGGTAAGTCGTATGATTTTGTAATTGTAAACAACTACAACAAATTCACCTCGGTTAAAATTCTAGCAAAAAAAAAAATCGTTTGATAAGTTAAAGATATTCTCACCTTGGATTCAATAAAAAATAGGATGCA